TCGCGAGCATGGGTCGTGACCGATAAACCGACACTAAACCAGTAAAGGTCCAGCCGCCGCAACGACTCTTAGCTGAGGTGAGTGAAAAAGTGACATATTTTGTATAATGTCGTTTTTTTAATTACTTGATAGTAAAAATACAACAAATTATGATTTCGTTATTGGCATATTTTGTAAAGTGCCGATATTTTACTCAACTATTCCAGATAACTGTGTTTATATAGAATAAATAAGGGGCATATTGTGCTTAGTGTCATTTTTGTGGCTTAAATGTCATATTTTTAATTTCTTGCCATATTAAATAGACGTCATTTTAAGTAAAGTGTCATTGTTTTATTTAAAAATGTATATTTAATTAGAGAATTAGGATATTAAACACCGACATTTTGTTTTTATCACGTTTATTCGTTATTATTTTATAAAAGCTAAAACTTTGTAAAAGGCTAATTTCATTATTTTATAAGTTTATCACTTTAGATTTCTATGTATTTACTACCAATGACTTTAATTTTTGAATATAACCTAAAAAGTACTATTGTTAAGTACAAGACTATCATGAATCATCAGAACGAGGAAAAAGATATTACAACTGGCAATTGGGAATGACAGTAATACCCAAAATACTGTGCCTACTTCCACCAGGAACTTCGAACAGCCTGATGTTCCACTTACAGAAATAACATCTTCTGCTTTAAATATTATGAATAATTTACATGAAATTGGAGACAGCTCTAACCTTTTACCTGCTGAAATCAGTGATGATGGCGACTTTTCTCCCGCCTCAGATGATGATAGGACGTACTTACCCCAAAAAAGAAACGCCGCCGATCTACTTCGACTTCATCATCCTCCAGTTCATCCTCATCTTCATCCAGCTCTTCTTCTTTCTCTAGTTCCTCGACTTCTTCATCAAGTACGTCGTCTGATTTGCCTACAACCTCTAAAGCTAATCAAGGTACTCATGATACCGAAACTTCTGCAAGCAATGTTAATCTTTCAAAAACTGATGAAGCCAAAGTAATTAATTGCAGGATAAATAACGACCTAAATACCAGTTACTGAAGTTGACTAAAATGACGAAAATCTTACAAATGACCAAACTGCTCATAATTATGTCGGCAATGATGTCGAAGAAAATTTTGAAAATGATGTCTCTGCACGCTGCTGAATGACGATTTTTTGGAACGGGATTTTGACAATAATTATCGAGTTGATAATGTAGCTCCTACAGCTTCAAATTCTCAGTTAGATGACCAAAGTACTCAAGCTCACGATGACAATATTGCCGCCCATTCAGCATCTGATGGCAATGATAAACCAAATAAGGAGAAGAAAAGAAGCCGAGGTATGCCAGTATTGCGAAGAATTTAAGAAATGCCGGTCAAGAATATGTTTCAACTTCCAAAACAAAAAAGGTTTTTCCGGCAAAAATTCTAAAACAAACTTGTGGAAATAGCTGTCGGCTGAAATGCTCAGATAAAATATTTGGAGTGTCAAGGCAAAAACTGTTTGATGCTTACTGTGCTATGGCTTCCTTAGACCGACAAAGAGAATACATAGCTCGTAGTATTCAAAATATTATCCCGAAATATCAATACAAGAAAATGAATTCAAATAGGAAGGCAAAAAATGCTTTTTATTTTGAAATAAATAGTACCAAACCAGAGTATGCAAGACATTCTACAAAAATACACTAGATATAACTGACAGGTGTATCAGAACTGTACTGGAAAAAAAGATTCTTTTACTGGTATTCTAGAAGGTGAAAAGAGAGGAAGACATGAAAATCACAGAAAGTTGTCTATCGATTTGGTAGGAGTAAAAACACACATAAACAGCATCCTCGAATCGAGAGCCATTACTTGCGTCAGCAAACCTCGAAGGAATTCAGTAATGGATCTTTACTCAGACTACAAAGACAATTGCATAGAGCAAGGACTACCCTATGTTATGGTACATTCGTATCGAAAAATTTCAACGAAGAATTTAATATTAGTTTGTTCGTACCTAAAAAGGACCAATGTGAACAATGCACGATATATAAGCTGGCTGAAGATCCCAGAAAGGAAGCTTTGAAGGAAGATTATGACCGCCATTTAGCAGAAAAACAAAAAAGTCGCGAAGAAAAAGCTAGTGACAAAGAGAAAGTGACAGATTGTTTTATCGTTGCATGCTATGACTTACAAGCGGTAATGACGGTTCCTAAAGGAGACGTATCAACATTCTATTATAAGTCCAAAATAAATTGTTTGAATTTTACCATATCGGAGTTGAAAACAGACAATGTTGAATGTTACTTTTGGGATGAATCTCAAGGCAATCGTGGAGCCAATGAAATAGGTAGCCGTGTTTTGAATTTTTTGCAAAAGAAGTCTTCTTTCGCTAATAAAGATCTTGATATAGTGTTCTATTCTGATAACTGCTGTGGCCAACAGAAGAACCAGTTTATCATTGGAATGTACGTCTATGCAGTATTTAATCTCAAAGTAAAATCAATAACCCATAAGTTCTTAATCCGAGGCCGCACACAAAATGAAGGGGACGCAGTACATTCAACGATTGAGAAGGAAGTAAAAAAAGTCTTAAATCTGAACCCATTTACGTACCTTCCCAATACGTCTGTGCCATCAGAAGTTCGAAAAAACGTGGGACGCCGTACATTGTAAATGAGATGGGATACGAAGATTTTATGGATTTGAAACAACTGCCAGTTATTAAGCTGAATAGAAGTGGTGATGGTGCGGTTGTAAAGTTGTCTGATATAAAAGTCATTAAAATTGAAAAGAACGTAATGAATGAGATTAAAATATTCTATAAAACGTCTTATTTTGATGACTTCAAGGAACTTGATTTGGCAAAAAGAACATCCAGAAACAGCCGACCTCAAGAACTTAAACCATTGTACCACCAAAAATTGGATATATCCGAAAGGAAGAAAAATGACGTGAGGAGTCTTGTGGATGCGGGGTTGATTCCTGGATATTACCGATCCTACTATGAAAGTATTTTTAATTGAAAATGTAATAGCTCTTAAGTATTATCACATTTTTACAAATGCCTATTTGCATTTTTTGTTACGATTCGTTTATTTTCTTAGTTTATTTTGATAGTCTTAAAATATTTTATTTTAATTAAAACATTGCGTGATATTGTCGTGACTGATTCGAGTAAGACTTTCTTTTGTAGTACATACAAATAAATACTTTATTCATCTAAAATTAGTTTTTATTTTATTCCTGACATTCATTTACTCAATTGGAGTAGTAGAATAGTAGAAGAGTTAATGAATTAAATATGCCATTAAACAAAAAATAATTGATTGTATAAAAACAAAAGTGGCACTATACTGAATTTTTTTTTCAAATACCTTTTTTTTCAACAAACACTAGTTAATTTATTTAAAAGTTATTTTATACTGAAAAAGAGATAATTAAATTATTATTTAAAACTAATCACATTGCTTGTTTTCAATTTATTTTTAAGTCTGGGCATAAAAATCATGTTAAAAAACTTTAAACAGCTATACTGTAAAATTGAGTTTTTTATATAGTGCCACTTTTGATTTCAATGTGCGAGATAGTCTAACAGTGGTAAATGCACTAAAGAAAAAGCGACACTATATTACTCAAGAAATAACCTACCCGATCATTATAATGGAGTTGACCTTAACATTATACAAATCTATACACCAACCTTGGACAAGCCTGAAAGTGAAGTAAAACAATTCTATAGAGAGATTAAGGAGTTAATGAAACTGATCAAGAAGAATCAAACTCATAATCAAGGTTTTAATCAAATTAATTTAAGATGTTTAGTTTAAATATAAGTGTATATTCTGATCTGTAAAGCCTAAATGTCCATACTATTCTCGATAGGAGGGTAAAGAATTCTCTAGAAAACATCAATAGAAGGCAGTTAACCCTATTTGCATAGTAAAATATTCGAGAACATTCGGATATTGATGAGATGAAGAGTTTCGAACATGGTTTGTTGCTAGAATATTCGGGAACGATGAAAAGATATAAACACGATGTAATTTGGAGCAAGAATTTATTCAGTCATTAACACAGCATTAAGTTAGACAGTATGAGAGTAAATTAGAACAGGTAATTTTTTTTCATTAAGACAGTTACAATTAGACAGTTAGTATAACAGTATGAGAGTTGGGATTAGACAGTAAGACAGTGCATTGATTAGACAGTTCAAGATAGTTAACAGTTACAGTAAGACAATATGGAGTTAGTTAATTAAGAAGTTAAACAGGAGACAGTTCGACAGTTAGTTAATGAATTTATTAAGAATTTAGTTGATCAGTAAATAATACAAGCAGATAGTAAACAGTGTTTTATAGTATTTGAACGTATATTTGAAAGTATATTAAAATTATAATATCTATGTGGTGATTGGAGATTATTAAGAAGAAAAAATAAGATTATAAGTAAGAAGCAAAGAAGAAACAATAAATAAAGAAGAATATTTTAACCATTTATAAATGCTATTAAGAAGAAAAATATTTTAAATTGGTAGAAGCTGATAATTAAAACATTCTGGTATATTTGGAAAAAGCAATTTCACAAAAACAAGGATAACCGAGGCTGATAAAGAAGATATTGAGTGGCGATTATACCTTTTATTTTGGATCAGTTTCATTTAGGCATTCAGTGATAGAAAGGTACTAAATTTTGTTAATATAATTTAATTATTGTAAGAATTTCAAATTTAAGATAGGTTGTTCTAATTTTATATTGTCTATATTAGATTTATATGTGTGTTTCATAATAGTTATAATAAAGATGATTTTAAAAAGTACTTACAAACTAATTCTTTGAGAACCGCGATAAAAACCCTATACTTTTGTATATATATATATATATATATATATATATATATATATATATATATATATATATATATATCATATGACATAATATTTAGATTTATATATAAACTTTAAGTATAACTAATATTGTTTTTAAATGTCATGGCAGATTTATACTCACGTTTGTGTATTTTTCAGTTCTTCCTCGATTAATTCAAATGCTTTTTCATATTCAGGACCAAAAAATTTATCATTTCCAGCAAAAAAATTAGTATGCGTGGGACCAGGGCAAAGAGCAAACACCCTTACCTTTGTCCTCTCGTAGTGAAGTTTGTTACCCCATGACACTGCCATTCCTATAATTTAATTTTACATAAGTGTTGTATTATTCGATAACATTATCAAATATTTCAGTAATTACGTCAGCAATCTTTCGTAATCATAATAATAAAATAACTTGTGTCTAGTAACTATCAAGAAGTGTCAAGTTATTTATTTCGTATGGCATACACTAAGAAGAGATAATTAAAAATCAATATAAAACGTTGCATGGAGTATTACAAACGAACATCTACTGTATTATTAATATTATGTAAAACATTTTTGGGCGCATTCAAGAACTCATCGAAAACTCCAGGGAATCGCCTTCCCTGGAGTTTTGATTCTGGATGGATTGATGGAGAATTCTGGATGGATTTTATCGGAGTCAGGTGCCTTTCCAGACTTAATTTCTGATATTGCTGAAATAATTTCGTCTGGAGTAAACTCATCAGAGTTTTCAGATGTAGGCGGTCATACAGACTTCAGTATTTTTAGTTTTTGTTTTACTTTGGTGATGTGGTTACGATCTCTAGGTGCTTTTGAGGTTGGTACAAAAAGGGAGGTCACTCTGTTGGGAGCTATTGGTACTTTGTCTGTACATGCTGGTGCCGAGTTTGGTCAAACAGAAAAAACAAATAAAAAAAAATATTTGTATAAAAAATTATTTTCATCGTATAACAGTATCCCGTATCGCATAGGTTAACATTTTTTTAATTTACCTCAACTAGATTTTGACAAAAAAAATAAAATACACATTATAGCATGCAAAGACTTTTTCTTACCTATTCCAGCAAATTTCGTAGCAGAATACACTGGCCATTGGGGATAACCTTCCAAACCACATACAGAAGAACTAACAGCAATAACTGCTTCATTCCCTGACTTGTATTTGTTTAAATAATGATCTATTCCCAAAACCATGCCATTAATACTTCCAAGCTAAAATTTAAACAAATGTATAATAAAGTTTTTTTTTTTAATTATGACTTGAATATAAACTTTAAAAATAAACGTACATATTTAAGAAATACATACAATCCCTTCTACTTCTATAGGAAGAATACCGTTAACATCAAAAATTTACAATTATTTTCGACTTTATTAAGACTAAATCAAACCGTCTCATAGCAACAGTAAGTTAAATCGAAGCTGCCTTACTATGCCAACGGTTCGCCTTTAGGACCCGGATTAGGATCATTAAGACCCATTTGGAAGCGAAACAGAAACTAGGACTGACACTTGTTCCTAAATATTTTTATTTGTAAGCTTAGAAAAGTCATTCATTCTTGAGACCTCTTCTAGGCCGTATGTTTTGTCTCAGTATTCATTTTGTTTCTATAAATTATGACCAAGTGCTATTAAACACAGCAGTGCAACTATACCGTGTAAGACTATAATTTCTCAGAGTGCATTGATCGTGTCATCCTAGGTTCCGTCTGGTTCCGAGGCTTTATATCGGTTCTTTGAGCTTTGTTTCCTTTTACAATGGGCAGGATGCTAACCTGGCTCATGAACCCTCCTCTTTTATCTGGGCTTGGGACCGGCTGTGGGTATGAACGCGGCTTCTGAGCTACTCAATCCACCCAGTCATCGCGCTAATAACCCCCAGGCAGAAATAATACAAGCAGCACGTAAAGGTCATGGCTACAGAATGGGAAACAAAGAAATCCAAATATTATATGCAGACGACGCCGCATTAATCGCCGAGACAGAAGATGAGCTCCAAAGATTAACACATATCTTCAATACAACAGCTAAGAAATACAGTATAATAATATTAGCAGAAAAAACCAAATGTATGACAACATCTAAATACCCACTACGGTGTAATATCGAAATCGATGGGAAAATAATAAAGCAGGAAGCAAGGTTTAGATATCTGAGAATGGATATTACTGGTTACGCAGATGTTGAAGAAGAAGTACGACAATAAAGCTTAAAAGCAAGTAAAGCGGCGGGTTCTCTTAGTGACACAATCTGGAAGAACAAACACCTAAAACAAGACAAAAAAACAAGAATCTATAAAGCAGCAATTAGACCTATATTAAGATACACGGCGGAGACAAGACCTGACACATCTAAAATGAGACGACTGCTAGAAACAACAGAGATGAAAATACTCCGACGAATATCAGGGAGAACTCTATTGGATAAGAAGAGAAACGAAAACATAAGAAGAGCATGCAATATAGAAGACATAAATGGATGGGTGACCAAACAAAAACAGGAGTGGAACGAACACATCAGTAGAATGGCAGAGGATAGAATAATATGAATAGCACGAGATAAGTCACCAAATAAACGAAGAAGTATTTGCAGACCAAGAAAAAGATGGTGGGACGATTTAAACAATTTAGGAGGCTAATATTGAAGAAGAAACAGGCTTTAAATTCTACATACTAGAAATTTATTGTGGAACAAATATCACGGTATTAAGTAAGTTCTGAAACGGCTTTTTAATGATTTTCCGATTGAACATATGTGTATGTGTACTTTGTGTGCGTGAGTTTGTATGTGTAATGTTCAATCAAAGAATCTATAGATAATGATACAGCCGTGTTTTTGATAAAGCCATGTCTTTGTCATGTTATCAGTTGATTCGCGATTGTTAATTGGGTTATTCTTATATACTTTAGTTCCACGTGTAATATATATCAATGGTTTACTAAATTTTACTCTTCCTCTCTCTTTTTCTCTCTATCTTTTTTTCTTCCTCCTTCGCCTAAACATTAAAATTAATTACCGTAATCATGCATTCAACTGTCGTTCATTATCTTAAGATCCATACCATCCTATCTGCTTCGCTGGTATATGTTTAGCTTGTATATGTATTCTTCATTATTTTACGTATTTGCATAGCGGCTTTGGTAGTTTTTTTTTATTTATTTAATTATGGTTTTCTCGGTATTTAAGTGAAAATATTTCATATTTGCTCCTTCTAATATTTTTAATGATTATTTCTCTTTATACCTTATTGCTATATTGGACTATAAGTTTAACTAATATTATAAATCCCATTATATTTGTACACTTAGCTATTTGTCACTTTCATATTAGCTTTTAAACATTCTTTCTAATCTGATCAAACACTCATTATCAGTAAAGGGGCAGCACGGCTACAAGTGCAAAACAGGTAATTTTCCCATGTAAATCTCCATAAGAAATTCTAAGGTCCATTCTGGTCAATTTTTAACGCTTTTTGTGGTGGGGGTAAAACGGCTCGTCGGATCGTGACGTAAGAGGTATCATTGGAAAGAAAAGAGAAAATACGTTACCACAAAAACCAAAGCTGGCGGCATTACCAAAAGGACACTAAGTATGTAACGTCTAAACGGCTTAACGTACAATAACGTTCAATGTATCGATGGAAAGGGAAGGGGCCAACAAATACGTAAACACAGAAAAAACATGGCGACGTATTGTCAAAAGGACACTAAGCTTGTAACGTCTAAACGGCTCAACGTTCAACAATGTGAAAGGTATCGATGGCAAGGGGGGTTGGTAATGAATATGATAGGACAAAACAAAAAACAAACGCTAAGATAATACCAAAACGGCACCATATAATTTCTCCGTTGGTATTAGTCTTATTATTATTATATATATTAGTATTATTATATCTACGGTTGTTATTGGTTCGATTTTGACTTATGAGACGTCAAATAAAAGAGAATGGGATATCGAATATGACTACAACACAATCAAACATGACAACATTGCCAAAACAGCACTTTATAGTATCTTCGTTGTTGTTCATTGAATTACTACGTATAAAGCGGTGAATAAAAGGATGGCTAATGAATATATTATCACAAAAAACAAATATCACAATATCACTCCCCTTTCTGATGGTACCTCTTACGTCACGATATGACGAACTGTTTTACACCTACCACAAAAAGCGTTAAAAATTTATCAGAATGGACCTTAAAATTTCTTATGGAGATTTACATGGGAAAATTACCTGTTTTGCGCTCGTAGCCGTGCTACCGCTTTACTATTATCATTCTGTTTTTCTTTATTCCAATGTGGAGTCGGTTTCTCGAATTACATTGCTTTAAGAGTTTTTTATCTTGGATAATGCCACTATTAGTCCCCTTTATCGACATGTCCTGTCTGAATGCTCCAGATCGTCTTTCAATTTTTGTCAGCCTTAGACCTCCCCCAACGGATTCATTATTAATTTTTGTCATTTTTTATCACTCCACTCACCCATTTAAACATTCGCATTTCCGCCACATGTAATAATTGCTTCTCATTAATTTTTGACTACCGAACATTTAGGTCCATACATCACAGCTGGTCTTATAGCAGTTTTATATAATCTTCTTTTTAGCTTCATAGGAATCTTTCTGTTTCACAAAACACCAGTTGCTACCTTCTCCTTCACCTACGCCACCCTAATTCTTCTACATTCATTTCCATCTATTTTCTCACTAGTGTGTAATACCGATCCTAGGTAATTATTATAATAAAGCTATAAGTAAGCACGTCCAAATTATCAAAGGTATATCAGATCGTGTCGCCTATATCATACTTAAAATAAGAAGAACATCAATTAAAATTATCCAGGTATATGCCCCCACGACAGCTTATGATGAAGAAAATATTGAACTATTTTATGAAGATATATCAAAGGCTATGGAAGAACATAAAAATCATCTTACACTAGTAATTGGAGATTTCAATGCCAAACTGGGTAAAAAACTAAACAAAGAAGAAACTAAAATAGGAGATTTCGGGTATGTTCAGAGAAATGATAGAGGTGATACTTTGATGAACTACCTAGAAGAAAAGCATCTTTACGCAATGAACTCCTTTTACAAAAAGAAGGCCCAACGAAAGTGGACATGGATCAGCCCTAATGGATCCACAAGAAATGAGATCGACTTCATACTGTCCACGGAACGATATATCATTAAAGATGTGACAGTTCTTAACAGATTCACAACAGGTAGCGATCACAGGATGGTCAGAGCAAAAATTAGTATTGACGGTAACTATGAGATGAAAAGAAAAATAAATAGAAACTGGAATCTAGTAGATAGAAACAAACTAGGGCAATATAAAGAGATATACAAAGACCTATTAAAGGAACAACTTACCCAAAGATTAGACAGTGACGATAAAGATATAGACGAAATAGACAACATACTTACAGCAACAATGATTACATCAAGAAAAGAAATAGCAAAGAAGGATCTAAAAAAGAACAACTATATATCAACAGAAACAAAGAAGCTTATGGATAAAAGAATGAAGCTGAACGAAGAAGGCAAAAGGAAATCTATAGAATATGTAGAAATTAATAAAACAATAAGCAGAATGATAAAAGAAAATAAGAGAACAGAACAAGAAATAAAAATAGAAGAAGTAATACAAAACAACAAAAATGTGAAATGCTTAAGGCCGAAATTAGGTAAGTTTGAAATAAACAAAATAAAAGATGTAAATGGAATTGAAACAAACGTTAAAGGTGACATCATAAATATAATCCACCATTTCTACTCAGAATTATATAAAACAAAATAGAACCACCAGAAGAAATTAAAAACCAACTTAAGGTCAAAATAAAAAATGTCAACTCAGAGCTGCAGCCCGAAATAAGCAAATCAGAAATAAATAAGGCATTGAAAGAAATGAAAAACAACAAATCGCCTGGAAAAGATGGAATAACTGCAGAGATGCTGAAATATGGTGGGAAAGTCTATATTCCCTTTTTACCAAGATATTAAAAGATAAAGAATCCCAAAGAACTGGAAGAAATCAGTAACCATCATCCTACACAAGAAAGTGGATAAAGTAGGCATAAGAAACTACCTTCCTATAACACTCCTCAATGTAATGTATAAACTCCTCTAAACAAAAATTTTAACCAATAGATTGACGACAAAATTCGATGGATACCAGTCGAAAGAACAAGCTGGTTTTAGAAAGGC